AGTTTTTCAGGCAGCTGTAACAACAGCTCTGCTTTGCAGAACACTTCTGATGTATGTGCAAAGGAAGGAGCGTGTGTTTTTTAATCCTGGCAAGTATCAACCTCAAAAATTATGGCATTGCTGCTTTGTAGGAGATACTTGGCCAGAGAGAGCCCGGACAGAACAGGAGACATTTCAGGCATTGCTCAGTGGGGTGGGTCTGTGACGGAGTACAAGCAGGAGGTGAGGGACAAAGGTGCTGTGTTCTGTCTGAGGTGTTGGCTGCCCCTGCTTCCAACGCATTGATGCCTTGGAGCGAATAGACAGACTCTTTGTAATCACAGGTCTTTTATTTTACAGTGTACGTTCACAACAGAAGCGACTTTTATTTTTGTGTTCTGTTATTAATTCACCTTTCTTGATGTTAGACTAATCTTGAACTTGCCCTGACACGGGTGTAATTCCGCTGGCCCAGGTTGTCACCTGCGGTCTCCACGTCTGTCGTGCCCCAGTGAGTTTAGCTCGCGGGCAGCCCCGGTACGTGCCAGCCAGCAGGCTCTTGGCCTGAAGTGCCAGGGCGGAAGCAGCCCGCACAGACCCAACTCGTCTTCCTCGGTCTCGTTAGCGCTGCTTGCATGCTGTGGCTGGGCTCTGGCCAGAGGAGCGCGCTGGGTGACTGCACTGCCACACGCGTTCAGGGCTTTGCCATTTTTCTGACCGCTGCTTTACCCCAATTAAGTCTCTGTTAGGATTCTTGAGCAGTCCTGGCTTCCCAGTGTCAGCGTTGTTCGCATAACTCCGTGTCTGAACAGTCCTCATCAAGCCACGGCTTCAAGTTCACGGTTGTCAGCAGAGCCAAGCTCCTCGTGCTGGGCTTGGCTGTGGAGTTTGTTCCTTGGAGAGGCGCACAGGGTATGCGGGGCCTCAGCCTGGGGACACTCACACATCACAGCAGAATCAGCACAGCAGAGGCAGGGGGTGCAGCACTCCTTTCTCTGAGAGCAGCAGGTTACGTCCTTCCCACCAGTTGAAGTTGTGGGGACGTGGTGCATCTCCCCATGGCACCCTACTCCTGCAGGGTGTCCCCTGGGAGGAGCAGGACGCCTCCTGACCAGGCAGCACCCCTACGTGCCAGGCAGCCACCTCTCCCTCCGGTGCGCTGGTGTGGAAACAGCCCTCACAAATGTGTTCTGTGTGCTGGGAGCTCGTTAGTGTATTACTGCCTGGGGCTGGAGCCAGGAGCTCTGCTCGCTCCTCGGAGTAACAGGAGTGCAGGGACTGTTCCTGGAATGATTCAGAGGACATGCAGTAAGCTGGTACAGCATGCTTATTATCTGGTTTTGCATGTTTTTTTTTTTTCCCTGTAGTTTGGGTAGCATTGAAGTTGATCCCTACAGAAGGTTTCTTTTCTTGCCCTTTCCAAGCCTTTACTGTTTTGCAAAGATGCTGTAACGATCAGCAGTGTGGCAGGTATGCACAGCAGGGTCTGTGCTTTCTGTTTCTTTTGTGGAATGATTTGGAGGATTGAATTTTACTGGATCTTGTTGTATTTCAGATCCTGCTCAAAACCAAGGAACAGAAGGTTAGTCCGAGAGAAATTGCTGAGAAAATAACAAAAAATATTCCTGCGAACGAATGCATTGAGAAGGTTGAAATTGCTGGGCCTGGTACGGTACTTTCATGCTCTACCCCTTGTTTTAAAGCTGTTAGGGCAATTTTATACAGGATGGGGATCAGAGAAGCTGAGCTGAGCTCAGCTGTTGTGTTATTTAAAACTGGTATTATGGGATGAGTGAGCTGCTTCTGTCTTGGTGAGCTCTGTAGCCCCCAGAGGTGTGCAGCAGCAGCAATCTGCCTCTGTTTTAACTTGGCTGTTGCAGTCCTCAGCCCTTTGTTTAGATTTTTTTCCACTGATCCTTGAGGGATCAGCCTTGCACCTTTGAACATTAGCGATGGGCGTGGGGTCACAGTCATACAAAACCACTGGAGAAATACATGTAGGTGTGCCATTCTCAGCTGAGACCAGGAGTGCTGGCTGTTGGGTGGGCGGCGAGGAGGCCTTGCCCTCTCAGCACGGAGACTGTTGACTGCTGCCTCTGCCTCGGCCCTGTGCCCAAGCAGAAATACGAGGGCTCCTGTTCCTTAGGGCTGCAGTGTAAAGGCAAGGATCATGGCCCAGGCCTTCGAGGTGCTTGGGCAAATCATTCACCAGCTCTAAGAAGGAGAAGTAAAAGAAGGCTAAAAAGCAGAATTTGGTTTTGTATCCTGCAAACCCTGGCAAGATTATTTACTTTCTCATAAAGAATGGTTTTATAGATTCAGCTTTGAGTGACAGCATGCAAAAAGGGAGTTGTCAGTGGTCTTGCTTGCAGAATCTGACTCCTGCGGTTGTGTGAAACACAAATAGAAGGCTCTGTTAATGTGGGAGCAGAAATTGTCTTCTAGTGACGGCTTTGTTGTCCTGTTGCTGAAAACATTTCATTTAGTCAAGCTAACTTCATAAGCTCTTGTACTTGATGCGAGGAAACAGAAATTGAAAAAGTGCCTTAAAGCAGTTCTGCAGCCCCTACACTCATTGCTGGCTTTCTCCTCCAAAGGTTTTATCAATGTCCACTTGAGAAAGGATTTTGTGTCGAAGCAGCTGAGCAGTTTATTGATGAACGGAGTTCAACCACCGGCTGTTGGCAAAAGGAAAAAGGTATGGCAGTAGGGAGGGGGGCATCTTGCACACATGCAGCTGAAGTGTGTGCTGGACAGCTTCAAAATCCCCCTCCAGAGAGATTTGTTGAGTAGATGGCCGTGTCAGCTGGTTGTCGGGGTGGCATTTTTGTGACTTGGGGCCTGGGGGCCGTTAGTTGGCCCACGTGTACCGGCTGTGGTTGCTGGGGGGTGAGGGACAGGGGTATCCCAGGGCTCCCAACACCCCCCATGAAACACATGGGATACGGTGATGGCTGTTGCCTTTATTCATGTATTTCTTTTGTACTGTGTCTAAGGTGGTGGTGGACTTTTCTTCCCCCAACATTGCCAAGGAGATGCATGTTGGTCACCTGCGGTCCACCATCATTGGGGAAAGCATGTGCCGCCTGTTCGAGTTCGCAGGTTATGATGTTCTGAGGTGAGAGCTGATTTTGGGACGGGATGGGCTGCTTTGGCTAAATGTCTGCAGTACCTCTGTACACTTCGGTCAGTTTTTGTCTTGTTGATTAGCACTTCATAAATAATCCTCTCTGCAGTAAGCTCCTAAACTGAGCAAGTGTAGCAGGGTTAGGGATCCAGATGGGCAACAGCTTCGTTGCGTTGAAACTGGGGGGGGGGGCAGCTTGCCTATTTTTGGCTTCTTGTATTATGTATGTTTGGTTTTTAGAATACACATATTTAAAATGTGCAATTTTAAAATATATGTTTGAGAAATCATCTTTACTGTTCTCTTTAATTGCTTCAAGGTTAAACCATTTAGGAGATTGGGGCACCCAGTTTGGAATGCTCATTGCTCACCTCCAAGATAAATTTCCAGATTACTTAACTGTTTCTCCTCCCATTGGGGATCTCCAAGCTTTTTACAAGGTATTTGTAGCAAATAAACGTGATATTTATGTCAACACCTAAAAAGCAGGTTTAGGAGGTTTACAAACTTGCAGCACAGTTTTAGAGAAACAAAGGGAATCATGTTAATAGATTATTGCAATTACCTGCCAATAGGTAATGAATCTGGTCTCGAGTTGTCCATGTGGGGCGTGATTAAAGGGCTTGTCTTTTGAGACAAGTGTGCTTTGAGAGCCTGTTATGAAAGTCCCCCCCGTTGTTTCGGGGGAAAACAGGTGCTTCGTTCATGTAGTGTGTTTTACCATAGGAATCCAAGAGGAGATTTGACACAGAGGAGGAGTTTAAGAAACGAGCCTACCAATGTGTGGTGCTGCTGCAGAGCAAAAACCCAGACTTCATTAAAGCGTGGGAACTGATCTGTGACGTGTCGCGGAAAGGTGACTTTGCCAGGTTCAGAAACATGTCTCAGCAGTTGAACAGTGTGGTTTTCCTCACCTTTATGTCTGAGTCCATCCTCTCGTTTTCTTAAAGAAATCACTGCCGCCCTGCTATAAGAAGCTTAAAGTAAAAGGATGATAGAGCCAAAGTACTGGGCTGCCTGTGGAGGGTTTCAGCTAAAACTGTTGTCTCCTCAGTCTAGTCTGAGTCCTAGTCTGATAGCTTGACCCAGAGACAGAAAACATTTAGGGATTTGCTGTACCAATTGGTAAACATATGCCACTGAATTCCCACTGTGTACATTTAATGGAAGTACTTTCATCCGTTTCCCTCCTCAAGAGTTCCAGAAAATCTACAACTGCCTGGACATCACACTCATCGAGAGAGGGGAGTCATTCTACCAAGAGATGATGAAAGATATTGTGAAAGAATTTGAAGATAAAGGTGAGGCTTTTGGTCTTGGAATCAGAAATTCTGCAGATGTCAGCATGAGCGAGGTAACCCCACTCCTATCCAATGAGGTGTAGGACTGATTTTTTGCAAAGCTGCGTTTTCCACACCCTTGCTCTTTTTCTCAGCAACATTTCCTGAGTGGGTCTTTGGTGGAATTTCCTCCCAAAGAAGCATTAGCAGAACCGAGTCTTATGTGTATCATTCCAGAAAGTGTGAATCTGCTGACACCAAGAGCAGTTTGTGTGTGATGTTTGTTGGAAATAGTGTGAGGTACTACTGGAATTCACTGCATCTTCAGCAGATACTCAAGGAGCAGTGTATGAGAAACTTCTCAGTCTTGGTGTTAGGAGTAGAGGAGAACTTGAATCTGAGAAGTCTCTCTGAAGACAGCGGCATGTTTGGATCATGTTGACTTTGAGACTCACAAGAAGCCAAATGGACCATAACGAGTCTCTGGTTTTATGTGGTCCTGTTTAGATTTATAAACTCTAGGTCCCTTTTAGAAAGGCCAGATCTGACCAGATCTTCTCTCTTGTGCGTGCTGTTTTGTTCTAGAAGTGCAATACAAAATATGACACGGCTGGTGAGGGAATTCTCTTTTTATTTTTATTTTAGACATCACTTTTTAATGTGAGTGCATGGTGCTTTCTGTCTGGTAGCATCTGGAATGGGACGTGTCCCTGTCCTGCCCCCCGAGCCTCCCCCCGTGATGTGACACACGATGTGTTCCGTTGCTTTCCTAGGATTTGTCCAGGTGGATGACGGGCGGAAGATTGTCTTTGTGCCAGGTTTCCCCGTCCCGCTGACAATCATGAAATCAGATGGAGGTTACACATATGACACATCTGACTTAGCCGCCCTTAGACACAGGCTGCGTGAAGAGAAGGCTGATATCCTCATTTATGTTGTGGACAGTGGCCAGGTGAGTACGTCAGCCCCTTCTGTCACTGCTGCTACAGATCAGAAAGTATTTAAATGACAGATACAGCAGTGTTGTAGGTAAAACGCTGCAGGCGTGGTATATTGCCTTTTGTCCTCATCAGTGTAATGGTGGATCTAATTTGGTGACTGGTGATCTCCGTGGAGAGCCCTGGAGATCCCAAATGATTATGGATACCCAGTCACCACTGGAGGTTGGTTAAACCTAAATCTCAGTAGAATAGTCTGAAATGAGATTTGTGCTGCTTACACATTGGCCTCTTCTTATCTGAGGAAACACAAGGTTGTCAGCAGCGTGTCTGAGCAGTGATGTGAATTTGCTGGTTGCTGCTTCTGTAAGCCAGGCAAACCCTCTGAAAGGTTAAACTTTCTGAGGTGGAGCTCTTCTGTGGAGCTAGAAACATTTACAGTCTCATTGTGAAGGCGATGAAGCTGTAAGGAAAACCCTACCTGGAAGTGTGGGTTGAGACCTGGCTGTTGGTGTTTGTTCCTTGCAGTCGGTGCATTTGCAGACAGTGTTTGCTGCTGGACAGATGATCGGCTGGTACGATCCCAAAGTGACCAGAGTGACCCACGCTGCATTCGGAGTGGTGCTGGGAGAAGACAAGTAAGTCTCTGGAGGTAGTTTTTCCTCTGTGTGTGCTCTGGCTGCTTGAGTGACTTGCCCATTCCTCACCAAGTAGGCACGCGGCATGCCAAGCAAAACACATCACGTGCTGCGCAGTTACTTGTACCTGCGTGGCTGTACTACATGTCAGGGCCCTCTGAGGCACATGGTTTTGGTGCTGCAGTCTGTTTCCTTCTGGGGCCTGGCCTCTGCTGCCTGCTGTTTGGGGAGAGGACCAGGAATCAGCCTGGGGACCAGCTGGTGGCAGTGCTGAGGAAGGTGGTGTGAATATTGAGCGGCCATGGTAAAGGCTGTACTTCCCTTGTTCCCTGCCTGCCCTGTGGTAGATGGAATGAAAGTTGGGAAAAGAACCTCTGGGGTCTGGTCTGCAGGCTCCCTTGTGCTCCGGAGGTGTTTGTGTGAAGTGACACAACCAGTGTGCTCCTACAGCCTTGTAGCACTGCAGAGCGAGAGGTTTTGCTGTAGGTTTGTTACAAAAGTAAAGGTGCCTTGCTGGGCTGGAGTCATGTGCTGGAGTTGTGTCCTTCCTGGGACAGCTCTGAGTGGCGGAGCCTTTCTGCCCCTCCCAGGTCCCCACCTGTGTTCTGGCAGGTTCCTGTACTTCCTGCTAGGTGTAGCTGCCTGGTGTCAATTTCTTCAATACAGAGCAATTTGAGGGCATGTGCTTCTTTATCAGCCAAGGGTTCAAGCAGGGGAAATTCCTGCGAGCAGTTCAGGTGCATGTCCTGGATCTGTCTGGGCACACGCTAGGCAGAGGGTGGGAGTGTTTTGCCTCTTACACAGGTGGTCATTTTGGCTGTGTGTTTTCAGGAAGAAGTTCAAAACTCGTTCAGGGGACACAGTGCGCCTCATAGATCTGCTGGAAGAAGGGCTGAAACGAGCCATGGACAAGCTGAAAGACAAGGAACGGGACAAGGTAGCTCATCTTTCCTGAGAACTTCCCGGATTTGTTCACAAACTTACAAATTCCACATTCTGAGTGTGAGCTGAGAATATGGGTGCAGCCAAACTGCCCGGGAGGTGCTGTGGGATGTGTGCAGAATCAGGGGTGTTATCTGGGAGCAGCTGGGGCAGGAGGGTGCTGCCGTGGGGAAAGGAGAACCCCTGGGTACATAGCTGTGAGGAGATGGAAGCTGCAGGCAGCGAGCTGGCTTTTTGGGGAGCTGGGAGGGGAGCTGGGCCTGGCGGGATGTGAAGTTGCAGCCTCAGCCTGCTGGGCTGGTGGTGGGCGGCTGGGGGTGTGTGGGGCACTTTGGGGTCAGGCTTCACCCTCTCCCTTGGGCACTGCGGCTGAGTTGGCCGGACGGCCTTTGCTTAAAGAGGTTCTGCTGTGGGTGCTGATCGCCTGGAGAGCTGCACAGCATGGGCCACAGAATGGGGCAGGAGCAGGCTGCCCGAGCACCGTGGGAGGCAGTGGAACTGGGAGGTGGAGCTCCTGGGTGCTGCGCAGCACAGGCTGAAAGCTCCTATTTTCAATGGGAATAGCAGGAAGCTTGGGGGAAAAAAATACACCATAAAGATCTCCCAAGGACACACATGATTCAGACACGGAGTGCTTTGCCCTGCCGACAGGGCGTTGCTGTACCAGAGAGGTGTTTTATGAGAGTCTGGATTATCCAAAATGCTCTGTAGGGGTTGCAGGGGCAAGTGTGTGTTTGTGAGAAGCAAGAGCACAGGGTGAATGTCAAACGCGTGTGGTAGCGAGAACGTGATGGGTCCTTGGGCCTTCAGGAGCAAGGGCAGTGCAGTCAGCATTAGCCTGAGCAGGGCGGCCACGCTGTCTGAACACAAGAGAAGCGAGGGGCAGAGATGGGGTCTGGTCCCTGGGGGTGGGTGTGAGCCTGTGCCACGTACCCTGTGGGTGAGCTCCTCTCAGCTGCCTGCGCTCTGCTCCTGAGCCGCGCTGTGCCCAAGGCTGCGTGCTGTGGCTCCTGAGGGCGTTCCTCCTCCTGACTGTCACCTGTTCTGAAATCGTAACAGGTCCTCACGGCAGAAGAGCTGAGAGCTGCCCAGACGTCAGTCGCGTTTGGATGTATCAAATACGCAGATCTCTCCCACAACAGACTAAATGACTACGTGTTCTCCTTCGACAAGATGCTGGATGACCGAGGAAATACAGCTGCTTACTTGCTGTATGCCTTCACGCGGATCAGGTGGGTTGAGCACGCTGGGAGTCACTCGGAGCTAGCCTCTGATGCTCTCCTTTGTGCAAAGGAGATGTGGGGGAAGTAGTGACATAGCTGCATCAGTGCTGGTAGGGTTAGTTGGTATGAGAAGCGAGCTCTGTAGACAAGTTTGTATTTGTCTTTGGCGACCGTGTCCTGTGTTACCTGACACAGGGCCCTGCTGTGTGCCATGCACTAAAGGCATCCCGGGCCCTTTAGCTAGCAGGGAGGGAGCTGTGAGGTTCTAGGTAATTCCTTTTGAGGATTTGGGTGGCCAGAGAGGGGTGAGTCTGTGTTCCAGCAGCTGCTCACCGTTGCCATACTCCACAGAGCTTTTCTGGCACCCTGAGCCCTGCTTGGCTTGGCAGCACGGGCAGTCGTGCCCACCCCTACACAGAGCACGGCCCTGCCGAGTCCCCTGCAGTGCCCCGAGGGCTCGCTGCGAGGCCTGGGGCTGGGTTGGTGGTGGGACCTTACACACAGTTTTGGCACACTGCAGGGCTATCGCTCGCCTGGCCAACATCGACGAGGAGATGCTGCGGAAGGCAGCCAGGGAGGAGGTGCTCATCCTGGACCACGAGAAGGAGTGGAAGCTGGGCAAGTGCATCCTGAGGTTCCCCGAGATCCTGCAGAAAATCCTGGAGGATCTGTTGCTGCACACGCTCTGTGACTACCTGTATGAGCTGGCCACCACCTTCACTGAGTTCTACGACAACTGCTACTGCGTTGAGAAGGACAGGCAGAGTGGTGAGTGTTGGCCTGTGGGGCTGCACGTGCCTTGGCACAAGCCAGAGCACAGGCAATGCACAGGGTGTTTCCTGGTCCCGGGAGGGCTGGTGTTGCATTACCAGCTGCTGCAGAGCAAGTGCTGCCAGGATGGAAGGCGGCTGGCACAGCTGTGCCATCTTCTGTCCATGAGCAGAAAGGTTGAGCAGGAGCTGTGAGCAGCCAGGCGGCTGAAACTCGGTGGCTGGTCAGTCAGCCTGGCTCGGGGAGGAGGGGAGGGAGCTCGCCGTGCCCAGCCCCAGGGCAGGTGGTGGGCGGATGGGTCCCCAGAGGAAGGGCAGTGTTGGTTCTGAGCAGCTGCTCCATCTCCTACCTTGATGTTTTTGCAGGCCAGATCGTGAAGGTGAACATGTGGAGGCTGCTGCTGTGCGAGGCCACTGCCATGATCATGGCCAAGGGCTTTGACATCCTGGGCATTAAGCCCGTGCAGAGGATGTAGCTGTTCCCTGTGGGGTGACAATAAAAGGACTGAACATCTGGAGGTGTCTGTGTCTGTTGGGGTGGGGTTCTGCTATGGGAAGGTGCTCTAGGGGAGCAGCACCCTGAGGGAGGAAGGGAAGTAAGAATGGGAGGGGACACGGGAGCATGACTTCAGAAGCTGCAGGTACAGAGGCAGATGACAGGCTGTGGACACAGCTCAGAGCATTTCTGTGTGCAGGAACTGAACCCCACAGGCCCATGTGGGGTTCAGCAGCCCCCTAGGGGGCTTGTTGGAGGGCTGAGAGCTATGAGAACACCCAAGTGTCCTTCTGGGAAACCACCCAACCACCGTATGGACACTCACAGTCCCAGAGCTGACCTTGTTCTGATTATATCCAGCATCACCTTTACCTTATTTGCCAAGTCCACGTGTGAGCAGGTCCCCCAGCTTTTGACGTTAGCTCTGGCATCCCTCAGCTAAGCACGGAGCTCTCACAGGAGCCGAGCAGTTTCACCCAGGCCAGCAGTGCAAGGCCCTGGTGCTGCTCATTTCATGGACGTCCTCAGTGAGCTGATGGAGGCAGCAGGCAGGTACCTGCAGGAGAGATCAAACACTGCACTCAGGGACTGAACTTCAGTGTAAAACACCAGGGGAATATGAAACAACACAGCCTGTGCTCTGCTGTCCTGCTGGGGGGTGTACCACCTGCAAGAACCCACATTCCCATCGCTGTGTGTGCAGGGAGGGCAGCAGCATGTAGGAGGCAGAGGAAGGACAGGGAGCCCTGCCCTGCGTGCTATAATTGCCAGCCTGCTCCCAGCTGCCACCCAGCAGCGCTGCCAGGAGCTGGCACAGCCGGAGCTCCCAGCACTGCTGTGGGCTGGCAGGCAGGCGGCAGCTCTCCCCAGAGGAGCAGGAACCCCAGGGGAAGAGCAGACCGATGACTGCTCCCTCAAGAGGATGGCACAGGGGAAATGTCTCTCCCTGCAGCAGCAGCGCTCTAAATCCCTACAGAGCCACCGAGCCTCTCTGCTCATCTATCCCAAGCTGTGCTCCGGGCTGCTAACAGTTGGCCGTGGCTGCCGAAAGCTGCCTTTGCTGTGGGATTTGCTGGGAGCTCTGCTGCACCAGGGGAAGCAGCGCAGAGCTGAGGCTGTGCGACTGTCAGAGGCGGTGCTGGGCTTGATGGAGCTGCTTGCTGCGTGTGTGTGCGTGTGTCTCTGTGCATGTACACACACGGCAATGTAGGTACAGAGATGTAACTAACTCAGCCACACATGTGTGTGTGTCAGACACATGGCCCACAGCCTCCCCATACATTAGCCATGGGGCTCACCTCCACGCTACCTGAGCAGTGCAGGGCACGCAGGGGCAGCCTGGCACCGGGTCCAGCCGTCAGGCGCGTCCGCTGGTGACGAGGCCAAGCCAGGCAGGGGCAGGGCTGGCGACAGCAGCCGGGGTCCAGCAATGGCCAGGAGCAGCTGCAGTGACGGGGCTGGGGCCGGGTGCGTGGGGCCAGGCATGGCCATGGCTGTCCCTGAGTCCTGGCACCAGACCCCTCCCTGGTGGGCTGGGGGGCACAGTCGTGGCCCCTCGCAGTGCCCTGGTGGCAGCAGGAGGGTGCAGGATGCCTGCGAGCCCAAGGCCAGCCCAGGTGGTGCACGGGTGACTGTGGGGGCAGGCAGCAGGTGCCAGGGCACCCCCAGGGAGGCAAGGGTTGGGTGCGGGGGGTTCAGGCCACCACGGAGGAAATTGGGACCTGTGGTGAGGCTGGGATAAACGGGGTCACTGGCCAGTTCGGGGACCTGGGGGCAGGGGGTGGCAGGTGTCACTCAGGAGCATGGGGCTGGCTGGGTCAGTGCTGGTGGGAGCCGTGGGGCAGGGGAGTTCTCAGCCTGGGAGGGCTAAGAGGAGGCAGCTCCCTGCTGCTCGGGGCAGTGTGAGGCCTGAGCTGAGGGCTGGGGGCACCAAGGGCTGTGGCTCCCTGAGGGAAGGGACGGGGAACTGGGTGTGACAGCAGGGCCACAGGACAGCGCCCAGACCCACACCACCTGCACCGGGCAAGCTGGGCTACTGGGGTGGCAGTCAGGGCCAGCTGGGCCCCGATCATCAGACACACAGCTGGGGTGAGGAGGGCCGAGGTCGAGCCAGGAGGGGGGGGTCAGCAGCAAGCCAGGTCAGGATCGGGTCCGGTGACAGCAACCAGGGTGAGCCACAGTCCAGTGCTGGCCAGGAATGTCCACAGAGACGGGGAAGGGCCGAGGTCAAGCCGGGAAGTCAGTCTGCGGGTCAAGGGCCAGGAGCAGATTAGTGGGGTGCATGGCCAGGCACAGGCAGGGCTGGCAGCACTCCAGCCAGGCCCCAGCAGCCAAACCTCAACTTCTGCCCCCACCCCCAGCACAGGAGGCTCAGCCCCGGCTGGGGCTCCCCACAGAGCATTATGGCAGCCCCTGCCCCACGGCACCACCGCAGAGGGGGCAGCAGTAGTGCTGAGCTGGCCCCAAGCCCAGGGTGGCAACCCCAATCCCCTGCCCCACACGATGCTCTGTGACAGCAGTTGGTGTACCTGGAAGAGCCGATTGCACTCCATGATCATGTGGGCCAAGCCCTGCGTTGCTGCCAGGTTTTCGCTCAGCTCCCTCTGATCCGGCTTCCCCAGGCTGTACTTCCTCTGGCTCAATCTGTGGATGGGGAAGGCAAAAGGCAGGCTGTGAACAAGAGGCTGTCCAGGCACAACATGGGGCAGGAAACCAGCAGCTTCAGCAGGAGGTGCTGCATGAGGTGCGTGTTGCCTCACATAGCGAGATCCAGCACGGCCATCACTCGCTCCCAGCACACCCTGAATGTGCCCGGGGCAGAACTGACCAGGAGCAACACATCATCACACCTGGCCAAAGACACCAATCACCCCAAATTGCTTTGTGTGCAGCCTTCAAATATCAGGCTCCACGTGAAGCCCACGCAGAACCTTTTGGCTCAAACCACACTGCACAGATTTCAAAAGCAGTCTCCTCTTTTAATTCATAATCATTACATGACTTCATTAATCCTGGCTTCTGATGCTTCTATCTACGTGCATTCCTGCCAAACAGCTTGAAAATGCGTCAGGAGATAAGAGGCGTCCTCAGCTGTGCGCCTCGAGCCAGACCTGTCAGCCTCCCCTTTGAAGTCTGAAACCTGCACTGCAGCTCAATGCCCGGTTACAAAAAAGCAGGAGGTTCAAAGCAATGACAGCAGAGACAAACCTCAGCTTCCCTGTGTGATCCCAGCAGTGCCACGCTGCACTGACCCCAGGCTCCCAAAGCCCGCTCCCCAGGCGCTCTGAGGGCTGCAGGTGGGCCCGGGTCTGGGACGGAGCAGCTGCCCCAAGCCCCGTGGCGCTGCAGCAGCCCTGGCACCGACCTTGCAGCTCCTCTGCCCTGCGCTGCCTCAGCCCAGGGGCACCTGGGCAGCCCCAGGCTCCAGCCGCACTCAGGCTGAGGTCCTTTGTGCTTTCTCTGCCCTCTCTGTGCTCTCCAGGGCCTGTGTTATTGCGCTGCCGGGTGCCAACAGCATATCTGACAGCTTCTGCAGCCCCCTGGAAGCAGTCCTCAGCTTCAGAGCGCCATCTGAGCTGATGAATTGGCTCTGCTGATGGGTGCACGGCGCTGCCATCAAAGCCAGCTGTCCTTTTCTGCTCTGATACGTGTCTGCCCGTACGCAGGAGCACGGCGTGAAGCAAACAAACAGCACTGCCTCGGGAGACCAGATAAGGCACGAATGCTCTCCGAGATACTGCTTGTCTGCTTTGGCCCAAGGGCACCTTCCTCCCTGCACGTACAAGCCGGCGATGTTATGCAACCCAGATACTTTTAGTTATTGAGATAAATGTACAGCATCCCCGTGGCTCGCTTTGGCAGGCACAAGCCCCTTATCACCCAGCAGCACGAGTGCCAGCAGCTGCCGCAATCTGCCAGGTATCTGCAGGGCCTTCGGGCTGCGCCAGGCTCAGGTCCCTGGTGCAGGAGCTGCACGTCCCGCGGCAGCACCACCTTCATGCAGGCGGTGGGCTCAGGCGGGGCGCTGGACCTGTGGGCAGCCATAAAGAGCCCAAGAGGCAGGCTGGCTGCGTGGGAAGTCGTCAGGAGCAGGACACGAGGGCCTTCCCCCAGCTGCCAGAGCTCTGCGTGTGCTGTGGTCAGCTCCTGCTGGACCTCAACAACTGTACTAGAGACAAACCCCGTGACACACACACTTTGTCCCCATTCAAAGCAGACACTTGTCCTCGGCCAGCTACGGAAAGCATTGATCTAGCAGAGAAGAACACTCCTGACAGCAGCGATGCCAGCACCAGGATGACAATACCGAGTGGAGGAGGAGCTATCCCGCCTCAGGGTGTTGAGGTGAAACAAGGACGGCGCGAGACAGACAGCGATGTTGGTTGGGGTCATCTGGTTTTCTTCAACAAAAGCAACCACATCTCGAAGAAAGAACAGGAGGATTTTCAGAGCGTCTCGGTTTTCCTTTGGGAGAAGGAGAATGGCAGCCTGGACAGCCTGAAGCTGCTGCTCCTTCGGCACGTCTGAAAACAGAAAAGCGATGGAAATCACATGTGATTTGCAAGGAAGTATCTATCTGTCAAAGGAGTGCCAGGCAAGGCTTTGAAACCACAAGAACTGAAGCTTTAGCTCACAACACAAAGACCGTTATCACCTTCACACCACGCAAGTACACTTGTGGGTTTTTTTTGTTTTTTTTTTTTTTTTTTCTTGAATGCCCTACTAACAAACTTATGCTGATTGGCTCTGATTACAATCCAAAAAGGGGCTTTTCTCCCCACAAAATGTTACTCTGCCTGATAGTTGGAGCGGATACCTACAGTACTGTCTTCTCCTTTCAGCCTCAGGCATGCAGAGAATAGATGCTCTCACTGAAGCCCAGTGAGACCCTGTGGCCAGCAGCTCCTGCAGGAGGGTGGGTGAGGCTCACCCTGCCCGGAATCCCCATCAGGAGAAGGGTTTCTCCAGTTTTTGACCATGGCAAAGGATTTGCTGCTCTTTCCTTCAGCAGATGCACACACGCAGGAAACACAAAATGTGCTTCTTGGCGAAAGCACCACCGTCCCTATCTATCTCCAAAATATAGCAATCTGGGCACCTGCGCAAGTCACAGGAATGCGGAGCAGAGCTCTTGCTGTTTCTGTCAAAAGACAAGAGGAGACCAGCGGCCAGGTGTAAAACAAATGGAAGGAAATGGTTCCACATCCTTTGGACAGAGCAACTGTACCACTCCTCACAAATGTTTGTAGATGCAAAAAAGAAAACTAGCTTCAAACAAACCTCTTGCAAGATGCAGATCTCAAGTATTTAAATCCAGATCCACACTGAGGTCATCTTTTCAGACAGGTCCTGCCTGACTTGTGTCCTCTGATTAATAAGGGACACAGCACCAGTCCCAGTCTGGAAACTGCCTTGTACAGACGAATATTGAGGTATCGTAAGATATTCAAGGATCTGGAAAACTATAGCTTTTGTTACCTACATTGGTAGATGTGGAGGAAGGATTCACAAAGCCTGCTAGTAAATATAGGCTCGGGAAGGTCTCGGAAATACTGCTTCACCATATCTGCCACGTCAAATGCTGACTGCCCTTCGTAACATACGTTGTTTGGGCTGGCTTCATTCATTTCTCTTAAAGACAAGATCCTGGATTTAACACCAGATTTTCGGAACAGGCCAACCTACAAGTAACAATGAAAATATTAAAGACACAGAGGAGTTACCAGGACTCAAATATCTGACAAATAATAAAATTGATCCTTCACTTCCCTTTTGACAGTGAAGACCCTGTGCTAGCAGGACACACTGCTGATGTATTTTTGTATCAATAGCAGCAGCAAGGGTATTCCTCCCCGGCAGACCATGAGTGAGTGTGTTTTATCTCTGCTTAGTGGCACATTTCAGCTGAAGCAAGGCTCATCACATCGGCTCTGGCACTACCAGCAACCACGGAACAGAGGGAACCACAACACTGTGTGACCTCTGGGGGGAGCAGAGACGTGCCACCTTACCAGGAAAAGGCACCAGGAGAACTGACTGCAGATGAGTTCAGCAAGGCAAGGCAAAGAACATGACGCAGGACTAAGGCTATTCCCAGAAGGCAGCAGCACTGTATTCCCCTGCAGGCCACCTGCTCAGAGACTGGTTCTGGAGCGGATCCCTTTTGGGAACAGAGCTGCTCTGGGCTGCTTCGAGTTCATACCTGGTCAAGAAAGTGGTTTCTTAAATAGTCCAGTGCTTGCAGGATGCCGTTGGGCAGTGGGTGGCTTGTTCGCTGAACATTCAGAAGCAAGGGGACCCCAAACACATTTTTGCCCTTGTAGTCGGAGGCTTTTATTTTTTTAATGAACTTTGGTATAGTCCTGAAAACAAAAAGCAGTACATCCACCTTATTAGCCCTCCAGCACAGTTCTGCTTGCTACTTTAGTTACACGTGTGGAAAAGGACTTAGTTTGTACGTGCCACATCCCCAAATTCTGCCTCACGCCTGTACACGCGGCATCATAGGATAGAGAGAATATCATAAAAGCCCATGGTAGGAGTGACCTCCTCATGTCAAAACTGAAATTAGCTTGAAAAAAACTCTCACGAGAAATCCGTTCCCTCCCCTTGGGACAATGCACTCTTTTTTCACTTCCTTCCAGACTTTCTTCACTTCCTTCAAGCACCAGACCCTACCCCGAGATGCTAACTGGCATTGCCAAGTCTCACGAGTGACTGACTGGATCATTGCTTTAGTTGAAGCTGGGTCTTGATGCTGCAGATGGACTCTCCACCTGGTCAGCTCCCTCCTCAGGGCCTGTGAAGAACCTCTGCCAAAGCCCTGCAAATTCAGAGAGAAACTACAAAGTGCTTCCAAACCAGTAACAATCTGTGACCACCGGCGAGGAGCAGAAGTGCTGTCTGTAACAGGAAATCCTATAGCCACTGAAACAATCACGGAACTGCCAAAGATTTAATAGGATGGAATTCCTCACCATGGACACGTTTAAGCTAGACAGGCAGGGGAGTTCACCTGCTTACATCAAATTCTCTCTTTCCAACCCGGTTTGCTTCAATGTTAGGCAACTTACCAGTTCCAGCCCTGCTTACTGGACGGGGAGTATCTGTCCATTAGAGCAGTGAGTTTCAACAAAGCCAGCTTTTGTGTCCGGGCTAGCTGCGCAGCTGCCTGGCTGTCACCCTGGATGGAGAGGCTGTCCAGGTTCTCACTTTCTTCCACAGACCAGTGTTGCTTCCTGTGCCTACGGGAAAAACATTGTTCAAACTGAAGGACTGTTCCCATTGTCCCTGTTAATTTTCTGGCCGCATCTGCAAAACCCCTAAGACTCCACACAACCCGCAGTTCCCTGGAGAGCCCATTAGCTGCATTTAAACAAGCTGCTTCTCTTGCCATACCAAAAGTTTCAATAAGAAACACAGCAAGCGAGCTAGCTGATTCCAAATGCCTACCAGTGCTGATAGGATCCTGAGAGCCCTCCTTTTAGCAGAGATCAGAGCAGATGTGGATATTGCACTGCCTACGGAACAGCAGTGCCTGGCACTACCAGTGCAGACTCTGCTACGCAGAACAGACTCAGTCGGGGATATTTTGATCTGGAATAGCTATTACAGTTTGTTTGTTTGTTTCAGTGGAGAGAATCAATGGGGAATGCTACCAGAGGGGCTGTCTGCTAGGGAAACCCAAGGATGGCTGACCTGTTGGTCTTTTTAGGGTCTGTTATGTACGGCAGCTCTGTAGAACTGAGCTCCTTGTCCAGTTCACAGCTGCTCTCTCCCTCAGTGGTTGGGACATCTGCTGTCTTATCTTCCGAGTGCTCTGTGTCAAGACGGATTTCTTTAGGCGAGGATGGACACGGAGAGGTCAAGTCACTGGCAAAGTCCAAATCCCCATCATCTGAGAACTTCTGTGTCCACTGATCGACCAGCTTTTTGAGACCATTGACATCTTCTATAACAGTGTTCAGTTCTGAAAAAACATCATCATCACCAACATCTGTTGCCTCCAACTTGTCAAACTGAAAATCGGGCAGGTTGTCGTACACACTCAGCCTGTTGTCTGTGCAGGAAAGGGGGCTGCTGGGGGCTTGGGAGTCCTTGGAACTGCTTCTGCTCCGGCTCCTTCTGCACCCATGAAAACTCCCAGTTCTCCAGTTGACAGAAGAGTTGTCCACTGAAGACAGGGAACTGGTTGTAAGTGCTGTAGGGAAAGTACCAGGCTTATGGCCTGGTGGTACGTGAAACATCTGGTTCATCTGTAACTTGACTTCGTTTTTGAGGTTTTGCTGAGTTACATTGTTCCACAGGAAGAGTTTGCCAGACTCCAAGTCCTCTGCATACATCCCCTTTCTTTCACAGTGTCTTTGTGGTTTTATAAGAGGACCCGGAGTGCTCACTGTGCTGCTGATTTCAGAATGATCGCTGCTACTGCAGCTCTCAGGAGAACAGGAGGAATTGTTCTTTGTTTGGATGCCAGAGAGGTCAGCAATATTTACACAGTTAAGCATCTTCATTTTTTCTTCATTAAATCCTTCCAGAAGAACAGGCTCGCTTATTATGGGTTTGGCCTTTGACTGACCACTCCTTAAGTTGCAGCTCCTTAAGTGCAACTTCTCCATTTTCTTTAGAAGGCTCGTCCTCTTTTTGAATGGTGCCCTATCCAAAAGCTTCTCTTCACTGGTGATACTCAAAAATTCACTAGGGGGAGGTGAACAACTAAAAGCAGAGTCCAGTGAAGCAACTTTACTGAAGAAACTCGTGCTGGTTTCCACATCTTCAAAAGCTTTGGGGAAGCTAACAACGTCACTGTCACCACTGCTAGTGCTGTGGATTGAGGACACATCGTGTTTCTCACTATGAACCAAAAGGATTGTGTCTTCACTGCTGACGCTCTTCAGTATTGGACTGCCCGGGACCGATGCACCAGCGCCTTCTTGTCCTGAGAAACTTTCCAGGCTGTCAAGACGAGACCACTTCTGACTGCACCGCTCATAAGCCCATTTGTTGCTTATTGCACAAGGTTCGTCATCATCAGAGTCATCACTCTTAGAAAAAGAAAAAAAAGGTATAGTTCAAGGGCAAAGTTTGGAAACTTTAAGTTATCAAAAATTTAACAAAAATGAAACTGCCTTTAAAGCCCCCAGGACCCACATACGGAAATATAAACGTTCAGTTACTGAAGGTCTGCCCTGGGGTCTGTTCTGTTAGATGAAAATTTGTCACCTAATTTGTTAGGTGACACATTACAGCGCAGCATGCCGACCAACCTGGTAAGTTTACCACAGGAAAAGATGACAGATTTGATCTGAGGATGAAAACTTCAGTTTTGTGGCAAATCCAGAGCTTTGAAAAAATATTTTTTTTTCCTAAAGACAAAGAAATCAAACACTTCATGCTTCTACAACTAAAACTCATCCATTTGCAGGTAGAGAAGCACTTGGCTGTTAGACTATGGCAGAATCAGCATCTGGCACACCCTCTTGAAGACCTCAGCCAGGTGCTCCATGTGCTGTGCTGCTCCCACACCAAGTGAGCACCAGGCAACAAGCAATCTGTACACCTTCAGGTGTTTTTTTCTTCTTTATTTTTTTGATGTAGCAATTAATCACATTTTTTACTGAGAAAATTAACTATATTTCATACCTGTTTCCTTTGATGGCTTATTTCCACTTTCATTGATGCACACTTGTTCAGTGTGTTCAGTCGTCTAGGGTGTAAGAACAAAGATAAAAGTTTTAAATTTAGACTATTTTTTGTCTTGAAAACACACTTGTTCCAAAGTAGTAGAGAACTGAGCCTGCAGAACTGAGCCTTACTGGTGTCAAAGACTGGCATACTGTTAGATGTTCTCCATGTGTTTTACCATAACCAATGCCCACTAACAACCCCATAACATTCACAGTTCCAGTCCTGCCATCTTAGAGCTAAGGAAGACTGCACCTGATCAGTTACTGTCACATTAAAATCATATAAAGAGCTTTAATGCTTGATTCTGAAAAATTGGGTGGAGAGAAACCTCATGAAGTTCAACAAAGGCAAGTGCAGGGTCCTGCTCCTGGGAACCCATGCCGTCACAGGCTGGGGGCTGAGCTGCTGGACTGCAGCTCTGTGGAGAAGGTCAGTCTCTGATGAAAACTAAGTTATGAAAAGATGAAACACCTTCTGGAGCCTATTAAAGGTGAAACACCTTCTGGAGCCTATTAAAGGTGATTCATAATTAACATTTACCTGAACAGTGATTCAATTGCATCTGCATCTAAGAAGTCGTGATCTTTCCTCACAGTTTTTACGTCAATAGGAAACTGCATATCTGTGAACAGAAGAGTTGAATCTGAAGTCTGAGTCATGATGGCAAAAACTCTGAATTTTCCACAGGTTTAGCAAAGGTTAAATAAATCAAAAACCTACTTCGATAGCTATATATTCACACAAATGTCCTTTAAGCAAGTGAGACATCAAGGTTCATGGTATACTGCTTTCAAATTTAGCTCTAGCATTCAACTTGCAATTTCTAATTTTGCACTGAAGAGGGAAGGTGGATATTAAAGCAGGCAGAAGTTTCTGTCAATTTCTTGAACTGTAGACCTTTGATAAAATCCCTCTTAAAGATACATTAGCTTTTGTTAACATTCAGTGACATTTATAACAATAAATATATTTAAAAGAATAATTTTTTTTAAGGTATAAACACAAAAATTGTAGAAAATTATACAGGTTCACAACGAATCCATATTTCCCCCACAAATAATAAGCACTCTTTGCAGCTTCAGCAACACGAAAACATGCAGAAATTCGTGCTGTTTGAATGTGTTTGGCTGCTTCTGAGTGGCTGTTTGAAAAAGTTATGATTGCAAGACAATTTTTCCAACATCCTTTTTAAAAAATGCCACTGAAACCGTATCTTGCTCAGGACCACAGGCTACACAGCTTTGGATGAGTTTTGGCTGCAGTCAGTGTGTCATTATACTCTGATAGACATAATACTCTAAGGAAAAGAGATCAGGTAAAGTATAAGCAACTAAAAATCACAAAAGCAGTAATTTGACTGAGTTGCAGTCTAACAATAACCAGGAATGATCTAAGTCCTTTGTGGCATTCTCTGGTGTCCACGCCAGCTTCATTAAGGTGTCACTTCTGCAACAACACACACCGTGTTGCATACTATCTATAGGTCCGCATGGAGGTATTGCAGAATTTGGAAGTGCTCCAGTAAAAACTGCCAGGTTCTGAAAGCTGATTTATGCAAGCAGTTCTACTTAAAGTCAGTGTCAGCTGCTGGACAACGCTCTGGGATCCTACCTTCAAATAACTGAGCATACTGGGGAAAGCCGGCAGCCCTCAGCCAGTCGCAGGCTTCTCTGGCTTCAATTTCTGCAATGAGAACATAAAATTGCTCACTTACAGGCTCACAAGAGCGGTGCCTTTACAATATGTGCACGCCAGTTTTATCTGGTGGATTCTCAAAGGATCTGGAGCGTTCTGTCAGCGTTACTGAAAGGAAAGGACTTCTCGTATCCAACCCCTTCCCTGCACACACCCCTGGAGCAGGCGTTCTGGCACAGCACAGACGTGAAACTTGTGAGCGCCCAGGTATGCAGCTGGAGGTGAGATGCCGTACATCAGTGTGCAGCAGCTGCCCCGAAGCCTGGGCAGAGAAGCATCTCTTACATCTTGAAAGGAGCCGTCAGGGCCGGGTGTGTGATACGTGTGCCCATTCATGCACTCCAGTTCTGAGACGATGATAAGATACAAACAAATCCTATAAATAGCCTTTAAATGCTATCACCACGCTCATTACACGGACACTGCCCGAGCATTCCCAGCACAAGGGTTCTCAGCAGTACCTGTTGCTAGGCTCTATCAATATTTATTTCCTTGCCAGCTACCAGCTCGGCTTGGCAGCCAGCTCAGCACAGCAGATGTCAAGCCCTCGCTGCTCGCTTGGTGACAGTTCACAAAGCCCCGTGGCCAACGCCGCAGCGTTCCCACAGGAGCAGAAGCCGAATACGAGTTCACAGAATCACACAACACTCACCAGATGCCTCAAAAGCATAAACATGTTTAGCATGAGAACATGCCAGCAGGCTGTAAGGTCTAGGTGTACCGAGGAGGAGAGGGATCCCACGCAGCATGCTTTCACATCTGAGCGTCATCCAGCACACACCACAACAGGCACTGACCAAAAGGCAATGACTGCTTGGAAAGAAATGCTGGGAAGCACCTGATCACCCAGCACGCTCATTACAGAGCGAGGTTTCTAAGCACCGTAACATTTAGCACGCTGGGCTGGAGGAACATGCCTGCTTCTTGAGTCTGTTTTCTTTGCACTTTCACTCCATTAGATTAAGACTCCGAGACATTTCCTCCACGTGCTGAAATTCCCCGCCTGCTTTGTTGAGACCTCTTAGTTGTAAGTCACCAGGGTGTCAGCCTAAAGAGACTTACCAGGTACTGCCAGACCTTCCCTGTTGTTACTGCTCTACTGCTAAGCTCAGCGTTACTCCCAGTAGCCCTTGATTTTTTCGGACAATGGCACCCTTAACAAAGGCTTCCCCGCACAGAGCTGCGGCTTCTCCCTCCGAGCGCACAGCGATACCCCAGCACAATAAGGATGCACGCCTCCTTTTTTCAAACTGCAGAACAGAAATTAATTATTTCTTCCACAATAGCCGATAGCCACTGTGCTTACAGTCATTACTACACTCAGCACCACGATTTATCACAATCCTTACCCTAACACAGCATTTCCTGAGCACTGAGGCAGGGGACTGATAAAACACCAGCACCGTACTCACAGAGCAGAACAGAGAGGAGAACAGATCTGCAGGGCAGGGCCACGAGGAGGACCAGTCTGACACTCAGAGCCTTCACAACAGCAAAGCACGCTGAGGTTTGCATTGGGGTCAGCCCACGAAGGAAAAACCCAGCGGTCTTCTGCGGGGGGAAACCCTGGGGGTGCTCATGTGGGCGCCCACGCCTGGGCACAGCGCTCCTGAGCTCGGGCAGGAGCGTGGTCGGCTCAGTGTCGACACTGCCCCGGCTCCCAGCACGCTGGAAATCCAGCTCTATTTTTAGAGAGAACCACACCGTGGACAGTGATGCAAATAAGAAGAGGCTGGACGACGTTTCACAGCTCGCAATGACCTCGGGCATGAAGATGACAGAAAATACGATGACATTCCTACACGTAGAGGTGGCCCCTTCCATAGAAGGTTTCTCTGCTAATGCAGATCCTTAAATCCCCAGGCCCTTTCAGGTGCCTTTGCACTGTGCCATGTTGCAGTGGCACAGCGGTGCTAGCAGCCTGACAAACAAGGCACACAGCCTGTATCTCTACAGCTTTTCAGACTTACTACAATTCCTTCACTGCCGAAACACCTACCCAAAGGGACCTGCTGACACCGCTGCACTCTGGGGACGTCTGCTGCCTCCTCCCAGTCCCGCTGGAAACTGAAACCATAACCAGAGAGTGGATGCTGAGGAATTGCACTCTGATCAAAGGAAATTCCCAGACCAGCCTTGCAGGCTCTTTGGGGCTATTAAAGGGCTCTCACACTGTGGGTTTTTTTTGGAAAAACAAATCGAGCAGATGAACCATTTGTGCAGAAGACCCTTCCCCACCTTCTGACTGTAGCTTGGCTTCACAGCCTGGCTGCACCTTCCCTGGCTGGGCAGTGTCTCCCTTCCACTCCTGTGTCTGCACGATCACTACAAAAGAAGCTTTCAGGTTCATTGACCGGCTTTTAAAATAGATGTGCTAATTAACACAGGCTGATAGCAATTGCTCAGTTCTTCTTGGAGCTACAGTAGAACTCAACAAACTCAGGTGCTTGTTAGCGAGATGTTAGATCTTCCTGAACAGAAACTGGAAATGGGGGAGCCTTCAGAAAGCCGGCAAGGACAGCACCCCAAATACGGTCTCTGCCTGCAAGCTAGATGTCATACAAGAGGATGACATTTTTGTACCGATCTTTCTGGTGCTCCCTGCACAAAGGCAACAGCATCAATAGCACAACAACCCCAGCATGGCACCTCTTTCTCAAGCAGTAACTTCATAATTAGGCAGATGGAAAAAAAATGTTTCCTGCAACCCCAATCCCCTGTTGTAGCTCAGGGGCCGCCAGCAACATTCCCAAGCCAAGCCAGCCGCCCCCCATGGGTAAGGGGTTACCAGCAGCTGCTGATGAGAAGCAGCACACAAACGCGTGCCCCGTGTGATCCTTGGGCTGTGCTGTTTCAGGCAGGTCAGCTTTGTGCTGGAGCTGGCTCCCTGCGGTCCCAGTGACACCAGCAGGCAAGCTGATGTACCAGACTGAGCACGGCTGCTGCCTGTGCTCCTCCGCCCTCCTCTCTGCAGCCCCAGCACCCACCTCAGCCTGGCCGGTGCCTCCTCTCCTGCACCCACGTGTGCTCCAGGCCCACCACGCGGCGTTCCCCCAGCTGAGCACCATCCTGCTGGCAAACTGGAGAGCAAACCGGGACTCATGGTGCACTTAGAAACCAGATGCTATGCCAGCTATTAAATCCCTCACTGAATGACCACAGGTGACACGGTGGGAAGGTGTGACAGGGAAGACACATCAGTGCTGAGGCTTGGATGCTCTCTCACAAGAAGCCCTCTCCTGGCAGCACCTGAAGGCAGCCAGAGGCAGGTGGTGAGAGCGGCCAGCCTTGCTACCAGATGCTCATGAGTTTCAGCTAACAAAGAAAGTGGCAAATTGTCCTTCAGTTTTTAAAAAGACGTCCTTTAAACAAAAGGGAAGGATGCAGATTTCTGCTTGGAAGCATATGTGCAGTGACTCACTCTCAAGATGCCGCATGACATTTTACTTGCGCGGCTCTGCTGCCAGAAGAGGAATGGTCTTTCCTTCCTTTCCTCAGCTTCATGTTCCTCTCCTCTGCTTGCCCTGACACCTCCAAGCCTGTGAGAGCAAGCCCTGCCAGCCAAACTTGCAGAAAACTCTTCGCTTTTCTTGGCGAGATCAGTTTGGTGGCAATTCAGCTTTCTGCATCGCCCACCACACAGCCAGTGGGGACGGGCTGCGGGTGGCTGGCAGCCCCCAGCCCAGTTGGAAACCTGGCCAACACGTGCTGCTGTCCACGCGGGGGCTCATTGCTCCTCTCCTACCTCTGGAGCAGTTGTTGAGGAGATTTTTAAAAGCCATGGCAGATGCACTACTTCTGCCTCCACCTTCGGACAAAGCAGTGTGCCAGTGCTGACGGGTGGGAATCGCTTGGCGGCCAGGTCTCAGTCTGTTAGAGGGGTTTGGTGTAACTCGCAATCTCTTCCAAAACATGCCAGCGAGTAAACAGTTGGAGAGGCGTTTCCAACGCTTCTGTAGGGTCCAAGTGCAGTGCTTTCGAAAAGGAACAGATTTTCTCAACAAAGACAGCTCACAAAGCACTCCTGTAGCCTCTCCTCCCCGTGCCATGCAAGTGCAGACAGGCGAACAGAAAAGAGGCTACGACTGATTCTGGCTTTATTTGGTTACATATTACACCAAGGCAAACTGGAAAAAAATCCAAAGAATTTTGCTCTTTCCCAATCTCAGTGATTGTACAGGAAGATTTTTTCCACCTGGTGCTAATCCTGCAACAGACAAGGGACGCCCACAGCCTCTGTGCTGAAACCTGTTTTATTTGGCGTGGCAGAACTCACTGCTCCAGCCCAGGCAGGTGCTGCTGCCTCCTCTCATCGCTGGCAGTCCCGAACTATCATCCCCCTTAGCCTCCTCCAGAAACGGAGCCAACAAGACCTGGGCACGCTTGGCAGCCACAGGCCAAATTCCACAATCTGTTTTTCCTATAGCTCGTGAGTCGCCGGTTCGTCCTGCAGTGATTTAGGTGCTGCTGTTACTGGTTGAGCTGGCAGTGGTGGAGATGAAGAGGCTTTTTCAGGGTCCATTTGAAGATAAAATGATGAGTTTCCAGCTGCATCTTTTTATAGCCTGGGGTTATAAAAAATTGTAGGCTCCCCTCTGACTTACAGCTGCTAACGAGGTACTGCACTTTACAGGCTCTATGAAAAATGCATTTGCTGTGCTAGCACTATGATTTCCTGAGGATGTCCAGAACCTAATAGTAACCTACGTCGGGATCTTCAAAAATTGTCTTTTCTTGAGGTATCGCCTCTTGAAGAGTCTGAAAGTGTTGTCTGCTCAGAAATGTTGACAGCTTAAGTGCTTTCAGAGCAGGGTGTTTGCACAGACCAGGGTAAGCAGTTGGGGCTTGTAAAACCACCAAACTCTCCAAAAGTGGAGACAGATCACAAATAAGAGGAAATGTTTATTCTGTTGTCCCATGTGCAATGCAAAATAGCAGAGACTGATTCTATTTTATCAGCCTAATGGAGGGGGATAAAAAAAAAAAGA